TATATATAATACAGTGCTCCAAAAAGATCCGACCACGCATTGTTTATCTATGTATACATATGTACATTGTAGTGTAGGCGCTTTCCTCAATTTCAATCACGCTTTATGCTGATTGGCTAGTTATCGCCAATCAAAACAGTTGTACCATTGTTATATATACCATCGCATGCGTAGCTGTGAATTACTATTTGCATTTGACTATGGCGACAACATCACCTGGAAAACGTGCTAAAATACAACTTTTGATGGAAGACGGGAAGTCTGAACGTGCGATTGCCGCACGTTTACAAATGCCTAAGACAACTGTTCACGACGTCATTCAGCACATCAAGTCAACAGGCACCAGCGCTGCAGGAAGATCCAGTGGCAGACCGAGATGTACCACATCAAAAACTGACGCTATGATCCGCCGTGCAGCCACGAAGGACCCACTGGCATCATCTTCACAAATTCTCAATGAACTGCCTCCTGATGTGAATGTGAGCTCTCGCACCATTCGGCGACGTCTTGTGTTTAATTCAATCATATTATCATTAAATTGAAGTGGTATTACGTTTCTGTCTAAAAACCTTAGTGGTCGGATCTTTTTGGCCAGCACTGTACATACATACATACATACATATATATACCCTAACCCTAACCCTATACACACACATACATACGTACCTACATATATATATATATATATATATATATATTATATATATATATATATATATATATATATATATATATATATGAATATTATATATATATATATATAATAATATATATAAATGACATATATTATATATATTATATATATATATATATATATATATATATATATATATATATATATATATATATATATATATATATATATATCAAAATATACTATAATAATTAATACATAGTTTTAACCACATTTAAATATATCTAACCTTGTAAAAAACTTTCACTTTTTACCAATTGTGTTTTATTATCAAATGCATCATTTGCATATCAACAAAACATTTATACAAAACTAAATTTTAATAGTTTTATATGAAAGTTATGTTGAGAAGTATAATGATTATAGCATAATGAGTGCTAACTTAAATGAAATTAAGGATGTCATCAAGTCGACAAGTTATTAAATTGTTTTGGAACTTACTTTAATATAATATAAGCAATGGAAAAGTTTTCTATTTACTAGACTAATTAGAATTGTAATTGATACACCCTATCTTTTAACAGTAGAACTACTGAAAAAAAGATAGGATGTATCAATTACAGTTTTAATTGGTCTAGTTATCAGAACAGTCTAACTTTTACATTTTACAACACTAACTTTTACAAAACAATTTCATTATAATAGTATTTACTATAGTAATAACTTTTACAAAAAAAATAATATATATTTTTTTAATAACAAAATATATCTTGTAAACTTTTAGTTCCGCTTTTAAAGTACCATCATAAAAAAAAAAAAAAAAAACATTTAAATAATGGCAATTATGGCAAAATGACTTTCGGCTCTGTATCCAATGCAATCGGGCCAGTGCTGGCCCAAAATCAAATGCCGTCGTAATGGCTCACGACTAGTCGCCAGAGTTCTGGCATTTCGTCGCACGCCGCTGCGACTTCTTACGATGATTTACCGTACACGGTCGTTTGTAAGAGGAAAGTTATTATACGCATGCGCAGTGAAATTACATTTTTTGAAGGTTTTTTAAAATGGCTACGGTAACAGGATTTTAGAAACTAATCATTGACAACGAGTAATTTGTTTAATTTTAGATAATTAAATAGGCTTTTAACTAGTTTTTTCATGAAATTATTTTAAAAATAGCTTGCAGCTGTACGAAGAAATTTTAAAAATAAAATACAAGATCTCTGAATGTGAATAATATCTACTTTCAACTAAAGCAACTTTAGTTTTTTTGTTTACAATTTTTACACCTTTTTTAAAATATTTTTGAGCGTAGAAATTTTTTAATTTAAATTTATTCAGCAAGATGAACCTTTTATCTATTTTGTATTTTTTGCTTATATGAGGATTCAATTTTTTTTTGCAGGGTTAAAAGAAAATCTTAATCATTAAACTTGTGTAACCTGTTGCTATGGTGCTCTTTTCCGATGTGGCTATATATATATATATATATATATATATATATATATATATATATATATATATATATATATATATATATATATATATATATATATATATATATATATATATATATATAGTATAAACACTTATCTATTTTTTTGATAAACCTTCTGAAGGAGTTGAACAGACTGTCTAAGAGTGCTCAATATTCTTAAAGAAGAGAGCATAGTATTGTTATATGTTAGTAACATAATATTTTTATATGTTAGTAACATAATATTGTTATATGTTGGTAACATATATATATATATATATATATATATATATATATATATATATATATATATATATATATATATATATATATATATATATATATATATATATATATATATATATATATATATATATATATATATACATTAGGGCCTTGCAAATTGACATTTTTTGTTTCAAATTGAATCTCAAAGCAGTTCTTGATCCGCGAATCGAATCATGAATCGAATCAGCTATTCGTGAAAACCAAGTTTAAGTTTGTTTTTTTTTCCAAAAAGATAAAAATATTTTTTTGAACAAATTCTTTTTGCTCTGATTATATTTTTGGCGTTTGTTTTAAAGTGATGTTAGAACTATTTTCAATTACTTTTTCTTCCCCCGGTTTGAAAAACCCATTTCAATTACATTTTAGCTTTAGAAATCTAAAAAAACCAGCAATATTCGCAAAATAATTCGCAAAAATATGATTTGAAAAAACTTGAATTTTTTTTTTTTCGACTCGAATCGAAGTGACACTTGATTCACGAATCGAAGCAATTCACAAGACCCTAATATATATATATATATATATATATATATATATATATATATATATATATATATATATATATATACGCATGCATACATTATATATTTATGCACACTTATCTATGATCAAAATTTTGAATGTTATTATTCCAGGCTTTTGATTTAGTCAATAACCTCAAATAAATCAACTGTATTGCCTGCATCAAAGCAATACCATTAGTTATGTTTTTGATTTTATCGATTGAATGCTATCATTTTGATTCTATCGATTGAATCATCAGTCTGGTTTTGTACATATTGATTCAAAATTAATAAATTATGATAAAAATTGATTTAAAACAAACAAATATTATAGTATATATTTTTTTAGTATTCCAACCATATTCGCGTTTCAACAAAGAAACTTGCCTGTTGTAAAGAAGGGAAAAGTAAACTAAAGCAGAAAGACTTTTTCTTGGAACTCGATATAAATATTTTTTTGTGTTTCGTGTTTAAATTTTTTTTTTTAATGTTTTCAGCTTGAGATTGTTAAAATCAATATGAGTATATTTAAAATATTTTTTACTTAAAGATTGAAAGAATGAAAAATGTTTTTAATGCATAAAAGATATTTATATTTTCATTTGAATTATATTTTGATCTTTTATTTTGTGTTGATTGATATTTATTTGATGCATAAAATAAATTTACATTTTTTAAATTATACTAATGTTGCTTTTTTTTCTGTTTGTCTCTATTGCATTACGAATATTACACACTTTATATAGCTTTATATCTAAAAATTAAATAATTTATCAAAGTTATGCTTTAAGTTCAAAACTTATTTGTGTTTTTATTTATATATAAATAAATATAAATAAAAAAATATATATATATATATATATATTTTATATATATATATATATATAAATATATATATATATATATATATATACATATATATATATATATATATATATATATATATATATATATATATATATATATATATATATATATATATATATATATATATATATATACATCAGAAAGGAGTATCGTAGCAACAGGTTACAAAAAGTTAACGATTAAGATTTTATTTTAACCCTGCAAAAAAAATTGAATCCTCATAAAAGCAAAAAATGCAAAAAAGATAAAAGGTTCATCTTGCTGAATAAATAAAAATTTAAAAATTTCTACGCTCAAAATTTTTTTAAAAAAGGTTTAAAGATTATAAACAAAAACAGTAAAAGTAGCTTTAGCTGAAAGTAGATTTTATTCACATTCAGAGGACTTGTATTTTATTTAAAACATTTCTTAGTAAAGCTATTTTCACAATAATTTTATTTTAAAAATAGTTAAAAGCCTATTAAATTATCTAAAATTAAACAAGTTACTCGTTGTCAATGATAAGTTTTTAAAAACGTTACATCCGTAGCCATTTTTAAAATTCTAAATTATTTTTAACTCTACTGCGCTTGCGTATAATAACTTTCCACTTATTTCTAAAGTCTAAACGACCGTGCGTACATAAAAAGTTGCTTGAGTCACTTGCCAGAATCGCGCCAGTAATGGCCCGTTACTAATATAGTCGCAATGGCGTGCGATGATTCGCCAGAGTTCTGGCCCGGAGTTGTGTGCTGTCTGGGTTTTATACCATTTTATTAATTTGCCATTAACTCCATAAAATTTGAGTTTTTTAAGTAGAATTTTGTGATCGAATGCTTTTGATAGGTCAATGAAAATACCTAGTGTATATTGTGACCTACCAAATGAATTGGAGATTTCACGAATGAACTGTGTAATGGCTTGTTCAGTTAAACAATTTTTTTTAAAACCGAACTGATTTTTATATAAGAAGTTTATTTAGATTAACGTAATTGTATGTTCTATTGTATATAGTTCTTTCTAAAATTTTTGGGAAAGTTGAAAGAACTGAGATAGGATGATAACTACTAATATTTGATTTTTTTCCGTTTTGTATATAGGAGTAACTTTAGCTATTTTTAATTGGTCGGAGAATACACCTTGCTGTATAGATGTCTCGAAGACTTTATAAAGAATACATTTTAAGTTTTCAAAGCAATCTATGACTATGTTGCCATTTATTTCCTCCGCACCGTAGCTTTGTTTCTTTTGAGAGATTTGTAAGCTCTCTCAAACTCATCAAAAGATAAGTCAGAATGTAAATTATCTATAAAAAGCGAATTATTTATTGGCTCTAGGAAATCACTAAAATTTTTTTCCGTAAAAGTATATGTTATTATAACTTTGTGTCTCGTAAACCAATCGTTAAAAAGGCGGATAAAAAGATTTTATATTTTTGAATTTTTAAAATAATTTTGTTTACTTTTACAAAGTAAAAAAATACAACTAATGCTAATTTTTATTTTTAAATAAATTTAACTGCTTCTAAAAAGATCTTAAAGTAATTGAAAAGCTTTGTCCTAAATGGGAGCTGGATACATTTTTTTCCAAAAATGAGTTTTTTCTTGATTTAGATTCTTTTTTGAAAAAGGTTCAAATCTATGTTAGTATGAATAACAAAATTTGTTCATTACCTTTAATTACAATCACAAAATTATTTACGATTTAAAATTTTAAAAATTCTTGGCCTTATAATTTGTTTTTTTGTTTTTTATACAAAACAATAAAAATGTAACTTAGCTCCTATTAGAAAAACGCTCTTCAAATTATAATATACAATCTATTAATAAAAATATTTATTCGTACATTTATATAAAACTTCTTGTGAAATAAGCATTATTAAAAAATTTTTTCTGTCGCGTAAAATGGGCATAGGAAATTTATATCTACATGCATTACGTTTGCCACGAGCAAACCGGACATTTTTGTTTATACATGTTAATAGCATTTAACTTCATAATTTGTTCTTTAATCTGCGCTATATCTTTGCTGATATCAGTATGTTTTTTCTCGCCGTTTACGTGATTGTTAGAAATGACAGCCAAAGGAACATCAATGTTATTACTTTCAATTTTCTTTTGCTTTTTACCGTTGCATTTATAATACGTAAACTGAGCAATATCTTTCATAATGAATACAAATATCAAACATAAAACACCTATTCCAGGAAATTTTATATAATCGTTATCCATTATTAAATCTGGCAATGACTGCGTAGTCTCAATATCAATCTAAAATAAAAATAAATAAAAAATTAAAAAAAAATAAAAAAGAACAGAGCAGTATTGCTCTGTTCTTTTTTATTTAAATTTTTATTATTGTATATATTTATATGTGTATATATATATATATATATATATATATATATATATATATATATATATATATATATATATATATATATATATATATATATATATATATATATATATATATATATATATATTAGTAGAAAGCCACTTCACAAAGCTTTTTCATTTAACACTGTGTTTCATCAATAAAGACTTTTCAGAAACGCATTTTTGATATATATATATATATATATACATATATATATATATATATATATATATATATATATATATATATATATATATATATATATATATATATATATATATATATATATATATATATATATATATATATATATATATATATATATATATATATATATATATATTCATCCGACGATGAATGCATACTTACAATAGGTATTTTAGAATATAATTCTATAACGTTGTTAAGCACATCAGTCCTTTCCTTATTTATACAAATTGAAACATTATCGTTTGATGATCCCATTATGTTTGTGTCACTTCCATACATTAATAAAACAGGTGATTTAACGCCTAACAACTGCACCAAACTGACATCAGGGTATGCGGTTTTAAACTCCATGTTCATTAAAACATCAATGTTTAGAACTCCATAGTTAGCCGTATTAGAGTTAATATCTTTCAATATCTCTTCGAATGAGCTGTAGTCTATACAAAGTAAAAAATACGATAATTACTAATTAATGTAGTTTGTAAAAAATACGATAATTACTTAATTACTACTACTACTACTACAAAAAAAACTCAATAAGTATTAACATCTTATTTGGCTATCCAAATTTTAATAAACATCTTATTTGGCTATCTATGATTTTTGTGTAATATCAATGAAGGGAGTGCTTTAAAAATATAATTATTATTTGGTTTAGCTTTAAACTATGTAACTTTTTATTATCTGTTACGAGTATCAATGAAAATTTAAAAAATTCAAGCGCTCTGCCTTTAAGCAATACTAAACTAATTGACTTTACAAAGATAAAAAAAAAACCTTTTAATAGAGTTGATTCGAAATTTTTCTGAACAATTTCCAAATCTATGGAGTCTTTCAAAACAGCAACCTACATAAAAAAAAAATAATTTTTAAAAATGCAAAAAACAATTGTTTTTCAAATAGTCATATATGACCTTTTACTCAAGTAAGGACAAATGTGTGAACAACACAACAGGGTCGTGAAAAAAAAATTGTAATATTTGCGGTAGTGGGCTTAAACCAATTAAACTTGTGAAAGCCATGTAAAAAAGCCTTTATAAAAAAAAACTTATGTTATGCATTGTATGATTAAAAAAAATTTATGTCAAATTTCCACTTCAAATTAAACACGGGTCATAGAAAATTAATTAATTTTTCAACTGTTTTTATAGTGTTAATGTGATAATTCTCTTTGTTTAGATTCTTTTTAATTATTATTCAGATGAAACACCTGGATGAATGACTAACAAAAGATCCTTGTTTGTATGAGGCATGTTTAGAGCTCACCTTACTGATGGCTGTAAAAAAGTAGCAACAGATCTAAAAACATTGCTGTAATTCCAGAAGGATTTATATCTTTCATCCATTATATGTCTCAACAAATCCTTTATAGATCAACTTTGTTAGATGTGGACTGAGTGGATGAATTCAGGTTCAGTAAATCTAACAATAAGTGGCAATTTACAGAAACCTAACATTACACGTTTTTGAAATTTAATTCCAGAATTTATGATTAATATTCATTCCTGAAATGTGGTATCAGATTTGGACAGGTCAAAAGATGGACAGGTCAAAAGATGTGGTATCAGTATTGGACAGGTCAAAAGATGGACAGGTCAAAAGATGTGGTATCAGTATTGGACAGGTCAAAAGATGGACAGGTCAAAAGATGTGGTATCAGTATTGGACAGGTCAAAAGATGGACAGGTCAAAAGATGTGGTATCAGTATTGGACAGGTCAAAAGATGGACAGGTCAAAAGATGATGCTTTGTTTGTGTATCATCTGCTTGATCACCTCTGTCACCTATGGCTTATACTGAATTTATTGATTACGCAGAAGACGTTGACTATGTTCCATTTTACGCAGAAGAATGATTATGCATTACTCAGAAGTTGATTATGTTCCATTACGCAGAAGAAGTTGATTATGTTCCATTTTAATTCTACAATGAATTTTTTTAAGAATGATCTAAAGAAAGATTTTTTTTGAAATGGTTAATTTTTTTTGCAATAATATTTTTAAAACTGTTTTCAATTTTCTTAATTTTACTTAAACGCAAATTTTCAATTTATGACTAAAAAGTGACTCAAAAATGTCACTTTTTAGTCATAAATTGAATGACTAATATGCGGGCTCGACTTTTACGTGATTAAAAGTCGAGCCCGGTAATTTGGAATAATTTGGAAACTTAAGTAATTTGGAAAAGTAATGGTAATTTGGAAACTTAAAATTTATACATTACAATAAAAGGCTAAATAATGGAAAAATTAAGTATAATAACTTTTATACTTACTAAATGTCTTAAATATGAATGCCAAAACATTTTTTGTAATGAAGATTTTGGAACGACAATGAAGCATTGGTGGTAACAAAATATACAAAGTTTATTATTAATTAACAATTATATTCTTTTATCATATTTACTCAAAGTAAGAGTTTCAAATACTTGTTTAAAGACTTTGAATGATTAAGCAACAATAAATATAGAAAATATAAACATTATAGAAAAGTTAAGTTTAACAAAAAGTTAGAAAAAGTAAATAAAGATATGGGTGTAGACAAGTGTAAGCTTGGGAGGTTGGGAGTGCTACAACCCCCTACTTATTGTTTAATGCGCCCTGAAATTAAATATATTAATAAAAAATTGAAAATATCTTCAAAACTTTGTTTTATAAATATCTAAATTGTAGCAACTGTAAATTCTACGCTACTGTTTCAATAAAAACGATAACTCATTTTTAAAAAATGTTAAAACGTTGTATTGAACTTGTTACAACTAACATTGTTTGTTTAGATTATGAAGGGATTTCTTAAATTTCAAAAATTTCATACATTATAAAATTTTTAAATCATACTTAATAAAACTTGCATTTCAAAACAAAACTTAATTTACCTTTTTTTTATTTTCTTTAAGTTTTGCTTAAATAGAAAAGATTTAATAATTTAGCAATACATCTTCGTAAACTCCGTAAAAAATACGTTATCCTCGCCCTTGATTAAAAATAAAGTTCTGAGACACCCTAAAAACTCACTATTCTGCTATGCACATAAGATTGTTTGCGCCACTACTTTTCATAGCCACTCTCCCCCTCCCACAGTTTAAAATTATCTTAGAGATTGCTTTAAGATTGTTTTCTATTTTAATTTTATTTTAAATTAAAGTAAATGTTATACAATAGTTTTTTGTTCAACTAATCAAATATAATTAATTAACTGCATACTTTTTTTTTTATTATTTTATAATAGTTTACTTATATAAGTGCATAAGTTATTAACTCTAAAGGAAATTTACTCTAAAGGGAAAGAACGTTAATATTTCATGTCAAAAACTAATATCTGAAATTTTCTTTATAGTAGCTGTGAGTTTAGCTGTTTAGCCTGTACTTTTAGAAATTATTTTAATTTTAAATCTTGGTCAGATATTTACTTTTCAATTCGATAGAAGTGGTTTTTCATTTGTTTTGGCACTTATGACCAGGGCTTTAGGTCATAAGAGCTCAAACAAATGAAAAACCACACACACACAATCACAAAATCAACAAAATTTAAAGATAATTTTTCATTTGATTTTAAAAACTTTAGTCATTTAAATTTATATTTCTATGTTGTTGTTTTCTTTTAGTAATTTTATTTTTTTCACTGTTTATAACTTTTAGTCAATTTTTGCAGGTAATGTCATTTTTCTTTGTACAATTTACTAAAAGCTGTTGAAGATTTTCTTAAAGCATATTCCTCATTACAAACTCGGAGATATTTTTCATTTAAGAATTATTTGTTTTTTTCTTAAAAAAAATTGTCACGTCACGTACAAAAGAAAAGGGATGGTGGTGGTTGTGCCACATAGGGGAGTAAGGTAATCTAAACAAAAAGTCAAATAATGTGACACTTATTAAATGGAATTGCATAGGGGAGAAGGTAATCTAAAAAAAAAAGTCAAAAGAATGTGACACTTATTAATTGGAATTGCATTAAACTAACATGAAATTTCTTTATCTTATTTACTAAGCTACTCGACATTTTAATCCACAATTAATAGCAACCCATTTTAACACGTTGCTTAATGCAAGTCAATAGTATTAAGTTTGATAAGTGCTTGAATGGAATATACAATAGCATGAGGTTTTAAAAATACATTGACTTAAATATTTTATTAGAGTATTGCAATGTTATTTGAAACAGAGCCGTAGCAATGGGTGTGGAAGAGGTGCAATCGCACAAGGCGAAAATTTTTGGCTGGACGGAAAACTAATTACAAATCATTATATTATTTCCTTAGTTATATATAAATAATTACTGTATACATATTATTTTTTTTTCTACGTCACAATGAACATTTTTAACTTCTGCATCAAATATAATTGAGGGAGGTGATTTTAAAAACAGATTGTAGAACGTAAATACAAAGAATGTATGAATGAATGTATGAATGGAAAGTGATCAATCATCGCATCAATTAACTTACAATTTTATCGCTTATCCAGATTTCATTGCATTGCATCCAGCTAAATAGTTTTAGCGTTTTTGTTACGTTAACGTTAGTTGATTACTTTTAGATATTTTTTCTTTATATATTTTAGTAAACTTCATTTCAAGTTTTTGTTTAGAAAAGGTTAAGGTATTTTTTTTTTATTATATTTTTAAAGTAAATTTAAATTTTTTTTTTTTTATATTTTTAAAGTATTTTTTTATTATATTTTCTGAAAATAATATAACTATATTAAGTATATATTAAGTATAAATCAAATTGTTAAATAAAATGTAACTAACTTAAAACAATATTTTTGTTATTTTTTATGTTTTTTTTAGTTTTTAACATATTACTGTGATTAATTATTAGTTGTAAATAAAGTAAATATGTTGGCTTTTTACATAAATAAAACTCATATTTTAATTGTGAAACGTATTGTAGGTGTCAAACATGTAAGTTTTTTCTTGGTAAGGCTTTTTTAAACCAGTATTTTTGAAATATAGATATAAAAAGTATAGATATTTCATAATTTTTAAACGGAAATTTTTCTTTTTAGTAACACGTCAAACAATTGAATACATAATTGGAAAGTTTCAAATTTCAAGCAGAATCTTTAATGGATAATCTAAAAAGTGCCAATCCATTTGATCTTTTACAGCTTATTCATAAATATTCTTTGAAAGCTGCTTACCCAGCTTGCTTACCCAGCTTGCTTAGCCAAAAATTGAAATTTTTGACTCTACCAGTGACAGTTGACATCTTGTGGAAAAAGTTTTAGTAATTTGAAGATAATAAAAAACTATTTAAGGTCTTCAATGGGCCAAGACAGATTATCAAACCTGTCTATCACCTCAATTGAATCAACAGTAACAAACTCACTTAACTATGATGATGTTAAAAATGATTTCGCATCACTGAAGGTCAGAAGAGTAAACTTAAAATTGCATTTGAAAATATTGAAGTTTAATGAAAATGAAAATTAGTTCGAGCTTTTTTGGGGGGTAAAGGGGCGCCAACTTTTAGTCTAACATCGGTCGTCGTTTTTGCTTGCTACGGCACTGATTTGAAATAATGTGATAAAACAAAGTAACTTTATTATGTAACTATATATATATTTTTTCAAGTTATTGTTTTATTGAATAACATAATAAAGTTAACGTCCGACAGTTTCATAACCATGGTTTTAGACTTGCTTGGTTTAAGCAGGCTTCTATAATTATTATTATCATTAATAATATTATTACTATTATTATTATTATTATTATTTTTATTATTATTATTATTATTATTATTATTATTATTATTATTATTATTATTATTATTATTATTATTATCTATTTCGCCGATAAAAAAAAGTTTACAAGTTTATAAAATACAAATATATAATACATGGCTGGG